GCAGCAGCAGCAGCAGCAGCAGCTGCTGCTGCTGCTGCTGCTGCTGCAGGCGCTCCTGCTGCTGCAGCATCTCCTTTTGGCCGCAAAAACATTCTCGGAAATGTACCAGGGGGGCTTCCTCCTTATCTCCCTGAAGATGTTAATGCATGCACTCTTATGCCTCCTTGGGCGGTGGTGCTTGCAGACAAAACAGGGGGGGGGCCCCCCGATGGGGGCCCCCAAGGCAATCACCAGGGGCCCCCCCAGGGGGGCCCCCATGGCGGCAACCATCAGGGGGGCCCCCCCCATGGAGGCCTCCACCACGGGGGGTCTCAGGGGGGCCCCCACCAGGGGGCCCCCCCAAGGGGTCCAGGGGCTTCGGGGGGCCCCTCAGAGCACCTCCCTTCAGGGGGCCCCCCACAGGGGGTGAGGTAAAGAGGGGGCCCCCAGGGGGCCCCCAAGGTGTTGGCAGACTGACGGGAGGTAAACAAAGTTTAAAGGGTAACGAAGGCCGCAGCTAAGATGTATAGAGAGCTTAGGGTTTAGTGTTTAGGGTTAAGGGTTTAGGGTTCGTTGGATGTAGCAGTAGGGAGAGGTAGAGGAGGGTTTAGGGTTTAGGGTTTGCGTGGAACACTGAGCGCAGGGCTAAAAGGCTTTTTATTCGTCGCCACTGTCTAATTAAAGAAAACAAAAGCGCATGCAATGCCGCCTTTGGGGCATTGCTACGCGTCGCTTCAATATCCGCATTGTCCCGTGGGGTGTATGTACACCCTGCTGGGGTCTATAAGCACCTCCACCCCAGTGCGGTGTATGCACACCCTGCTGGGGTGTGCATGCACATCACCCTGATCGGGTGTATACGCACGTATACCCTTGTGGGGTGTATATGCACGTATACCCTGATCAGGTGTATATGCACGTACACCGTGCTGGGGTGTACGTACAGCGTAGTGGAATGCATGAATATACAACCCGATGGAGTATATGAATATATACACTCCAGTGGGCTGTATGTATGTATGTACCGTACACCTGATGGGATAATATATATAAATATATAAATATATATATATATATATGTAGGGTTAATATGCATGTCCACTACACCCTCCTGAGGTGTATATACACCCCGTTGCGGTGTACGTACACACCGCCGGGCATTTGCATACATGCATGCATGCACTGTGCATGCGCGCGCGGGGCTGCACTTTGCACAGCAGAAAGAAGGCGCATGCAATAAATAAGAACCGAAGTGTAGGCAAACAACTCAGCCTTCACCATATCGATGTATACTCATACAAGAATATAAATATACTTAGCATAAATCTATCTACATATTTATGTACTTCCACATTTATATATATTATAACGCTTATTTATATATACATTTATATATATGCTGATACATAATATTAACACAAAGAAGACACTGATATAGAACAGCCTCCACTACACTAATTCATAGCCCATGAGGGCCCCGTCTTTACTTTCAGACGGTGAGGGCCCCGGGGGCCCCCAAACAAAATATATATTTATTTGGTTGCTGCATCAACAGAAGATACTGCTGCATGCAAACACTGCGCGCATTCAACCCCATACCACCGCATGCAAGCCAACGCCGATCTGGGGCCCTCTCATGGGGGCCCCCTAAGACCAACTAGGGAACCGTGATGCTTCTTAGGGACCCCCTAAGCACAATGTGGGGCCCCATGCGGCCTTTTAGAAGCCCTGGGTGCCTCGGGGGGCCCCTACGACTACATAGGGCCCCCCCCGAGGGTCCCTGGGGGCCCCCTAAAACTTCTTGGGGGCCCCCCAAGGCCTTTTAGGGGGCCCCTAGACCCAATGGGGGCCCCCTAAAACTTCTTGGGGGCCCTCTAAGACCACCTAAGGGCCCCCAGAAGGGTTTCTGGGGGCCCCCTAAAAGGCCTTTGGGGCCCCTCAAGGCCTTTGAGGGGCCCCTTAGACCCACTGGGGGCCCCTTAAAACTTCATGGGGGCCCCCTAAGACCACCTAGGGGCCTCCAAGTGGAGGCCCCCGAGCCCTGTTGTTGAGGGCTCCTTTGGGTGGTGTTTTGTGAGTCTTCTCCCCATGTCTATTGCTGCATTTGTTTGTGTTGCTGCAGCGGGTGTTTATTCGCCGATTTGAAATATATTAAGGGTTTGGATGAGTAAGTAGAGTTTGCTGAGATGCACTTAAAGAGTCGTGAGTAAGAATAAAGAAATCTTCAATCTCCATAGAGCGCTCCTCTTCTGCTGGTGGTGGTGGGGGCTGCCAATCCCATGCAGCACCTGCTGCAATAGCAGCAGCAGAAGCAGCAGAAGCAGCAGCCCCACGCGAAGTAGCAGATAGCTGCGTTTCTAATCTCTTCAATCGTATAGCTGAACGGGGTTTCTTCAATAAAAACAAACCCACAAGTAAACCCAAAAGAAGTGCAGCAGCACCGCTGCTCTTCCCTAAGAAAGGCAAAGGAACGCTGCCAACAGGTGCGTAATCCGGAGGGATGTATGCGCCGCCTTTAATG